ATCTGCAAAAATAGATCTTCTCCAGCCACAATAGATCCTTCATCAGTCAGCATCAATAGACTATCCAGCACAACCAAGCATCCCTGGCCATTACATATATCCAGTACTGGAGGTGCCAGAACTGCTTTCCCCCACTTTCCCACTGAAAAAAAAGCCCTGGACATAGGTAACTGTTAGACTATGCAGTTGGGGAGTGAGATATGACTGTCATTCTTCAGGTTGGGAGTGAAATATGTGTTAATCTTTGAAGTGGGATATGGAATGGATATTGGTATGGGTAGAAGAGTGCAGAATCTGGACATCAGTAAAGGTGGATGGAAGCAGGGGGTAACATATTGTTGCCAAGCTGGAAGTCATTGCTTTTGGAGTCTGTAGATTTCAGGGGAAATCAGGGAATGGCCATGTGGCCTTCACTGTGAGTATTGCTATTACTTGGTTTTGCAGGCTGTGCCTTTGCGATAGGATGGGGATGTGATCTGAGTAAATGGTCTATAGGGTTAGACATGACTGATCTTGGAAGCAGGAGTGGTAGTGTGGGTGATGAGGATTGCTATGGAATGGATAACTATGAGACTTTCCTTTCTCAGGTATGTATTCACTGACTTCAATGGTCATGTTAACTGCTTGTAATGGGAACACTCTTACCATTGATCACTGATGTAAAATACCTTCTTCCCACTGCCCCTCTTCTTTGGCCACAAATGTGTTTCACTATGGTATTCCCTATTGTGAAAAGGTTGAGAAAAGCAATTTTGGATGTTTTTTTTTTCACTCAGGCTGTTGCTGGTTGGTGCTGGAACAGGAAATCTGGTTCTGCTCATCTCTTTTCTTTTGGGAAGTGTCCAGGCTTCTCATCTGCCTCACACTCCACTTTAGTTTCAAGGCCTCAAACATAGAGTGGTTGGACTTAGTCACTTTTTAAACAACTCAATGTACTTCTCTTCAGTGCTATTTCTAGAAATGTTATGTTGTTTGGGCAGTGAGACTTCTCCTGAGCTATTGCTTTCAATAGAGATGTCAGAGAAGGTTTAGGCTACCTGTTACTCCTTGACACTGGTCAGTGGAATGGACAGCAGAGTGGGTGGGGTGCTTCTTAGTGTGTGTGGACACTATTCATGGAGGGAACATTTTAGGGATCATGGTGTATTGGCCTCAGACAGTTGGCCTTAGACCGAGAATTTATTTGTGTCCTGGAAATCTAAAAAATGTGTTTTTATATTTATGACAATAAGGACATATCATTTCACTGTTTATGTACAAATATTGTTATGCAAAATACATTTCATTTTTTGGACTTTCTGAATTATACTTGTATGATCGTATGTCAAATGCAGATGCACTCTCTGGTGGTTCTTTTTGTGTCAGGTAGAGCAATTAGCATGTTAAATGCCTACTGAGAAAATCAATTAAAGGATAAACCACCTGCTGAGTATATTGCTGAGTATATTGGTTTTCCAGTTTATTGGTAATGTAATGAGGCAAAGAGTAATGTGCACCAATAGCCAATGTTTAGTGGGATTGTAAAGCTTTGGCCATACATAGTACGGCAACAGGAATGATGCTGCACATTTTGAGCATCGCTTGCAATTTTCATGCCATTTCTGCTAAAGGGTAATATTGATCACCTCTAGTGTTTAGGAAAATTTCCTTTGCCCCTCTAAAGACATTCATGATGGTTCACTGATTGCATTCACCTGCTTTGAACTTTCCAAACCCTAATATTTTCATTGGACATCTGTCAATTATGGATAAAGATGTTTTGCCACAAAATTGTCAATGCACTATAAATATAGGAAATGTATGACAAAGAGGGAGGAATCAAGGAAGTGAAATGTTTGAAGAAGAAGTAGTCTCACTTCAATTTTTATTCATGCGTTTTGTTCCACAGAGAAGAGAGTACTTATAGGAATTTGGGGTTGATTTACTAAAACTGGAAAGTGCAAAATCTGGTGGTGCAGCTCTTGAACAAGCTTAAGTTAGAATCTGATTGGCTACCATGCACAGCAGCACCAATTTTGCACTCTCTAGGTTTAGTAAATCAACCCCAAAGTACTTTGTTCTACCTTCATCGGTGTTGTCTAAGGCTAGCTGTTAAGTCAGACTTGGCACAATTCCCCCTTCCCCCACAGCTGTACGTCAATGCAGCTAGCAAAAGAGATAGCTTTTTTGACAGATGCCACTTTTCTCCATCTCTAAGCACTTTCCCAAGGAATTAAGGGGGTGGGGGTGAAATTAAGGGGGTGGGGGTGATTATCAGACAAAATGTTTCAGGCAAGCAGGAAAGTGCTTAGAGAGGGATGTCCATCAAAGCATCCATCTCCTTGTTAGCATGTTTGGACCACAGTTGGGTGGGTGGGGCGCCTAGTCCAACTTCACAGCTAGTTTTAGACAGTACTTAGAAAGATGGAACAAAGTACTGCACATCCTTTGCCCCCTAGGGAACAGAACACATAAAAAAATCAAAGTAATGCATAAAATTTGTCACAAGTCAGATGCTGCTAGTTGATGTATTTTTAACTTCTACAGATATAAAAAAACTGAAATTATTTAGGGCATTTAAAGGGCCAGTCCTCCCAGAAGGAACATTTCAGTCATATGTGGAGTGTGCTGGGCTAATTCAGCTTATTGCTTGGTATATGCAATATATTATAATCAGACACATTTCTCTGCTATATTTCGCATCTGTTCTTGTTCATATGGACATTTTGCATGTTCCTGCACATCCTTGATGTTCCAGTGCCTCTTGTTTCATTCTCCATATAATAACAAAAATACAAATCCTTCAATTAGTATGATGCCCCGAAGCCTTGTAAGAAGGAATGTGAAGGAAGGAAACTCACCATTAGAGTCACCTGGATAAACTCAGGTGGTTTTAAAGTGCATCTAAACAAAAGAACAAAAATGTAATATATTGCAGCTTACCCATCTTTAGATGTGGTGGCCGCATATGTGCTCTCTTCATTAGGCTTTTATTTTACTTTACAATCCTGCCAGTGAATGACACACTTGTTCTCCTAGGGTGACAATATTCACTTACTATACTGTATCTACAGTATGGAGCAGTCTTTCTCAACCTTTTTAACATGGGGGAATCTTTGAAAAAAATTTTGATTTCAGGGAACCCCTGCTAATAATGACTATATCTGCGTATCATGGTGTATTAATGTGATGCAGGGGCAGATTGACCATTCGAGCATTCGGGCACTGCCCGAGGGCCCAGGGTCAGTAGGGGGCCCCATGAGATGCCCCTTTTACCTATTATAGGCTTTTTTAGGTGTGGTTTGAGTGTGGACGAGGACACAGGGGCCCCATGATCCCCTTTTGCCCAGGGGCCCCATGAGTTGTCAGTCCACCCCTGATGTGATGGTCAAAATTAGGAATGCTCCTGATATGGCACCCTCCTAGGTAGGTGTTAGGATAAGGTAGATAGGATACATTTTGTTTTGATAGGTACATTTTGTTGTTACTCTATAGGCAGAGTGACTATAATTATTACTAGGTAAAGGTATAGTTAGCTCAATGTACTGGGTGAGCTATGATCATTTAGTGAGGTCTGCTCTATGTGCACAGGTACTGTTAGTCTGCCTAGCTTCCTCTATATCTAGGAGACTGCAGAAGTTTCTGGATGAGAGGTGTGGAGCTATGCAGATGGCAGCATGAATATTGATACAGCCTCATCTATATACCATAGAGAAGGGCTCTAAGGCATGTTGCATTCAGTGAGCGCATGGGGCTCTAAGACTTTCCTGGCTAGGATTGCCCAAGCCTGGGAAAGAGCACATTGCCCTCCGTGGCAGCTACTGCTCTAGGACTCAGGTGGGCTACCTGAGGGTCTGAATTGCTGGAACAAGGGTTCTGCTACGCTAACTCCTGAATATCTGGTCTGGTATCATGGAGGAAGGCATCCAGTTGCTCTTGTCTGGTGATGCAATGCTCCATTCCCCTGACAATGCTGATTGGTGGCAAAAAATGTGGGGGGGGGGGGGCTAACCAGTGATGTGATATACATCTGACACTTAACGCCTTGGTGTCTGTTTCTTATGTGCTTAATTAATGTGCGTCTTAATTTTGGAATTTCTGTTTATTGCACAAGAAGATTCCATCTGGTGTCTGTCGCATTATATTGAGGAGGCCGTGGAAGCATCCCATCAGTGAGATGAGTGCTGAGTACAAGCACACAAGGTTGTATTGATCTCTGGAAAGTGAGATCAATATTTTTGGTCAGAGGCTGATTATTTATTTGGTGGAGGATCACGATTGCTCACCACCTTTCAAGATTTGATTGAATCTTGGAGAATATATGTTGGACTGAGCACTTTTTCATTTTTATTATGTCTGGTTTCACTTTTCATATGACAGATTGTACTTATTTACTATAAAGTTGTGGTTTGTTAGCATTTTTGTGTTCTGAGAGGGTTCACAAGTGTATATTGTATTGCTATAAATGTAGAGATATGCACCAAGTGTATGTTTAGATTACTATATGATTATTATTTGACTTTTTGGGAGCAGAACTATTTTTGGTTTTTGTTTCACTAAGAGCAAATCATTTTTTATAGATTATACTTTTTTTTGTGTTGTCTGTGTGTTCCTGTGTGGGTGACAACCACATCCCCTCTTCTTTTCCTGGTGTCTTAGGAACAGAAAGTGAATGCAAATCTCAGTGGCTTACAGAGAGAAATAAAACCTAACAGAAATGTTGATTCTTCCCCACTCTATCCAAAAATAAACAAAACAAAGTTTGACTTTAACCGCATCCCGCCTGCCATATAGTAAAATGATGGACGCAAGGCGGTTCTCTCGTTCTGTGAGAACTTCATATGATGTCCTCCCATTCTAACCGGGCATGCACGGCTCCGGGAGCGTGCAGCACGGCGATCGGGGGTGCGCTGTGTCCCTCGAACACAGCGGATCACCGATCAATGGAAAGAGCTGAAGATGTCAGCTCGGTCATGTGATCAGCTGTGTCCAATCACAGCTGATCGCATGTAAATAGGGAAATGCCAGTTATCTGCATTTCTCTCCCCGTGAGCTGTCACGCTGACAGCTCGAGAAGAGAGGAGAGCCAGTAATCGGTATTCCTCGGAGGGGACATGTACACAGATCATTAGAGCACTGATGATCAGTGTTCCCTGATGATCTGTGTAGTCCCAGTAGTGCCACCTGTCAGTGTTCATCCATGCCACCTGCCACATTTCAGTGCCCACCAGTGCACATCAATGCCACATATCAGTGCCCATCTGAGCTGCCTTTCAGTGTCATCCATCAGTGCCAATCAGTGCCACCTATCAGTGCCAGTCAGCGCCGCCTATTAGTGCCAGTCAGTGCCGCCTATCAGTGTGCATCAGTGCCGCCTATCAGTGCCCGTCAGTGCTGCCTATCAGTGCCGTCTAACAGTGCCAGTCAGTGCCATCTAATAGTGCCAGTCAGTGCCGCCTAACAGTGCCATATATGAGTGCTGCCTATCAGTGCCCATCAGTGCCACCTATCAGTGCCTCCTCATCAGTGCCACTTATCAGTGTCCATCAGTGCTGCCTATCAGTGCCCATCAGTGCAGCCTCATTAGCGCACATCAGTGAAGGAGAAAAATCACTTATTTACAAAATTTTATAACAAAAACTAAGAAAAAACTTTTTTTTTTTTAATTTTCAGTGGTTTTTGGTTTGTTTAGGAAAAAATAAAAAACCCAGAGGTGATTAAATACCACCAAAATAAAGCTCTATCTGTCACAAAAAAATGATAAAAATGTCATGGGTACAGTGTTGCATGACTGCGCAATTGTCAAAGTGCAACAGTGCTGAAAGCTGGAAATTGGCCTGGGCAGGAAGGGGGTATAAGTGCCCTGTAGGCAAGTGGTTAAAGTTATCTTAAAGGTTCAGGTTTTTTTAATTAAAATAACTAACACCAGGTAGATGCAGCATTGGTCCGATGCTGCATTTGTCCCCCGCCTGCGCTAGTGTGAGAACTTAGCGATCACATGACCGCTGATTGATGAGTTCTCATGGCCACTCTAAGCAGAGAGCACTGTCATTCACCACTGTCTGCTCCACCCCTGCGCTCTCTGGAGTGCTGGGCTGTGAAAGGTGAAGGAATCCGCTAGCTCAGGCTCTTAGCGGTTCACTGAGAGGCTGAGCCACGTGCCGCTCTAAATTCTGGGGAGGATCCTAACTTTAAAGTCGAGATCTTTCCACAGCCTGGACCAGCTGGGTGATGTCACAGGGTCACAGGAGTGCAGAACAAACTGCACTCCTGTGATCCACAGGAGAAGTACGGCCAAAAGATCTTTGACTGTACTTCTCCTTTAAGGTAAAAAACATTCTGCCTTTATAACCACTTTAACTCTCCAGCATCCACCAAAAACTAAAATAATTTTAATTTTGGATAGAGTTACCCTTTAACATTGTGTTCATTATAGTTTTTGTATAGATTATTATTATTTAGAATGATTGTTTAAAAGTGGCTCTGATGAACCCTCTTGACAGGAGTGCAGGCAGTATTTCATAGCACGGTTTAGCTTTTTTCTAAGAGCACTCTACACATCCCCATAAATTACATTTGACAAATACTCCGCTCATATAAATAAATTAGTGACAAACATTTCAGTATTTGTCAGGGAAGAAGGAAAAAAATCCATAGCAACCTTTCAGATATTTGCTTTGATCAATCTGCAGCATATCAAGCTAATTAAAAAAGAAGGGTCCCTACTGGTTACTCTGTGTTTTCTTTTAATTGACAAACAAGTAACTAATTGTCCTGATTTTTCTTCATTTTACACTTACACCACGCTAATAGGAAGTCCTTTAAGTGCCGAGGCAGAAAACCAAGTCAATGCTAGCTTCTGTGACCTCGCCGCATCTTGTCACTATGAGGTTTTCTGTCACTAATGAGTCCTCAGGCCAAGCAGAAGCCCTTGCTGGTACTCTCTGGATAGAATGCAGTATAATCACTGTACTCCCTGTGGGACTGCAGGCTCTGAACATGTCAGATCTCCTGATACTACTGCTGGGATTTTGTATTTCCCTTGTAATATGCAGTGGAAGATTTTTCTGAACACTCTTATAAACAAGGAATTGTACAACAGCTCTAGTAAGTAAACAGGAGCATCATGAATTTTCTTGTTATCACAATGGAGGTCACCGTTAAACACAAGATAGTTTGTAGGGTCATTGCAAGAAACTTTCTGTATGTCTTAAGGTGTACAGAACTAATATTGCCCTTATATTGAAGCTAACCATACAATTTTATATATATATATTTTATGAAGCTTATTTTCTAGCTCTATTTGTATCCACATTCCTTTCTTAGCTAGGACTATTATTATTATTATACAGTATTTATATAGCGCCAAAAGGTTTGCTCAGCGCTGTACATTATAGTGGGGGACAGAACATGAGACAATACAGTAACAGAACAATACACGAGGGGTTCGAGGGCCCTGCTCTTTCGAGCTTACAGTCTAGGAGGGAGGGGATAGTGGTACAGGAGGAAGTGGCTGTGGGGGATGGAGTAGTAGGAGGAGTGGAGGAGATCGGCTGTTGGGTGAGGGTGGGGTAGGCTTTCCTGAAGAGATGGGTTTTCAGGGTGCGCCTGAAGGTGAGGAGGGTAGGTGACAGTCTGATGTATTGGGGTAGAGAGTTCCAGAGGATGGGGGAAGTCCTGGAGAAGTCCTGCAGTCGGGCGTGGGAAGAGGAGACCAGGGAGCTAGAAAGTAGGAGGTCTTGTAAGACTCGTGGGACTAGGTGCAACGAAGCGTAGGGCTTACAACAACTCTCTCTGTATGGAAGACCAGCTCTCTCTTGTGGCACTGTGACATCTGCCAATAATGGACAGGGTGGAGACTCTTTCCTCCTCCTAGATATTTTGGTGCCAACTCTGGTTGGGGGTGAGTTTGTGCCAAATATTCCTATAGGTGCAGGAGCTACCAGCCAAAGTGTACTCTTCAGCAACTGGCCAAAGTAACAAATGCCAGAGCCCCTTCCTAAAAGCAAATCCAATTTCTAAAAAGGAACAGAAAACTGCAAATGTCTCTTCATTAAAATAAAGAGACAGTCCACAAAACAAAACCTAATTTCAGACCAATCTCCAATCAAAAAGCAGCGCCTTTTGAGACCACATGTTGGGCACCAATATGTAGCAATATTAACACTGATCGTCAATAAACATTGACTTCCAGATGTTAAACAGCTCTACTGTATGTTCTATGTACCCTTACATGGCAATAAGATCCTAGGCACAGTTAATCTCAGGCATGGTTCTTTGTCATGGTGTAAAAAAGGTGGGTGTCAGTCACTTTAACAAGCTCAGAATTAAAACTAGTTTATTGCACATGGTAATAAATGAAGGAGGGTGATGGACAGAATCAGGAAATCCACAAAACATGTTTGGTTGCAGACTCCAGATTAGACTCAAACCTCTTTTTAAAGTGGGTATAAAGATTAGATTTGTTTTTCTTTAAAATAAAAAATATGTTATTTTTACCTGCTCAGTGCAATGGTTTTGAACAGAGCAACCCAGATCCTTCTCTTCTCGGGTCCTCCGCCGGCACATTTGGCTGCTCCCCTCTGCTGAGAGCCTCTAGAGTAAGTTGCTTGCTCTGAGGGCACTCCTGCGTGCTCGCTCCTGAGCTGCCTCTTTGTGACTATGGGAGACATGGAGCGTGGCTCAGTCCTACCTCCCTCTCCTTCCTCATGGCTGTGATTGGCAGCAGTGGGATCCAATGAGTAGGAAGCCTCAGCTCTCATGAATATTGCTGGATTGGGCTCAGGCAAGTATTAGGTGGAGCTGCGGGGGAGCTGCATCCTTAAGGTTTTTTACTTTCATGCCTAAAATGCATGAAGATAAAAAACCTTTAGAGTTTACAACCACTTTAATCTCCCATCTCTGACAAAGTGGTTGATTTACTTAAACAGGAGAGTGCAAAATCTGGTGCAGCTGTGCATAGTAGCCAAACAGCTTCTAACTACAGCTTTTTAAATTAAGCTTTGAGAAAAAAAAAAACTGGAAGCTGATTGGCTTCTATGCAGAGCTGCTCCAGATTTTGCACTCTCCAGTTTTAGTAAATCAACCCCAAAGTCTCTCTCTATACCCTCTGAACACAGACTATGATGGCTGCGCATTTACAAAGCTTTTGGTCTTTGGCAATTGAGGTTCAAGTGGCATCTCAACTTTATGTTGCAAGGCAGGACAGCATGAAAAGGTTCCTGTGTATTCTTCCCACTTAACTAGTCACTTATCATGTCTCTGGTGGGAGATAATCACAGCTTGTTTCCTCTAGTCCAGGTACTGTTCAATCTTCTGCAGCCATAAATTTCAAGAATATCTCTCAGCAAGGAAGGTACCTGCTTCCTTTAAACCCCTAGACACAAAGGTGAGAGAGAGACAGATTTTTTACAATGACATCCTCACCTCCACATCCCTGGCCTGGTGGATGTGGGGATCTGTTGGGGGGTGGGGGGCTTATCAGAATCTGGAATCTCCACTTTAACCGTTTCCCACCTGGCCACTGCACTTAAATGGCCAGGTGGGATCTTTGCCGTTCTGAGGGGACGGTCCTGTACGTCCCTCAGAACATGGGCGTGAATGGCCGTGTGGCCGCGCAGCTGCATGCTCTAAGCGTGCCTGTGTCCTCTGGACACAGCTCAACACCGCTCAGCAGAAGGGCTCTGTGATTGGCCCTTCTGTTCATTGGGACCTCCAAATGACTCTTTCCTCTTAAGTATAGGTACCTCTTTCTGCTTACTCCTCTCACCATGATGGCTGTGTCCAATTACAGCCATCATGTAATGTAAACATGGCCGCCTGTCAGTTGATCGGCTCTGCTTCTCCTCACACAGGGCCCACCAGTGAGTAGAAGCAGAGCTGATCTGTGTTTCCAGCAAGTGAACAGTGAGTTTTCAAGCACTACACTACCCTGATCACCCAGATAGTGTCCCCCCACAGATCTGTCACAGTGATCATCCACATCTGTCAGTATGCCAGTGGCCATCCACATCTGTACTAGTGATCCACATCTGTCACAGTATACCAGTGGTCATTCACGCCTGTACCAGTGATCCACATCTGTCACAGTGTTCCAGTGATCAACTTCTGTCACAGTGTACCAATGTCAAATCCACATCTGTCACAGCATATCAGTGATCAATATACATCACAGTGTACCAGTGTCAAATCCACATCTGTACCAGTTATCAATATCTGTCACAGAGTACCAATGTAAAATCCACATCTGTACCAGTGATCAATATCAGTGTGCCAGTGGCCATCCACATCTGTACTAGTGATCCACATCTGTCACAGTATACCAGTTGGTATCTCGCCTTGTACCAGTGATCCACATCTGTCACAGTGTTGTTCCTAGAGTGGTTCAGCCTCTG